TTTCTCAGTAATGAAAACAGATATCAAAAATTCAAATAGTAACTTTGTGCCCACACTCAAGCTGAGTAGAATGAGCTATGTCTGAGGTGTTTTATCCCAAATTTGTAGGAGGAGATACATTTGGCGCGAAGCTATCCAAAAACCAGTTTTTTGGCTGTTGCTATGGCAACGGTGGGCCAAAAAAGTTTTCCAGATTTTTCCTTATAACTAGGGTGAAGGTGTGACCTACCTGCCAAGTTTGAAAGAAATCGGCCAAGCCAAAAAAATCACAGAAGAAATCATACGTGAAAACATTGGTGGAAATGTACACACACAGATACACACACACACACACACACACACAAAACGACAAAAGTGATTATAAGGGCAATCCTAGCGGAGCAGATCGCCAATAATTACCGGTACTCCTGGTAACTAGTCACTCCTTGTCACCAGGCCATATGAAACAATCAATAAACCATTCTCAGGGCCCTGGGAAGGATACAGACCGAGATACTCTTCTTCCAGTACCCAACTGGGCAAAAAAAAGAAATACCACATGTATCATGACTTTTACTAAAAAATGAAACAAAACAATGAAATGAGCTTGGGTGTAAATAATGTTCAATATTTGTTTATGCTATATCAATATATCAAATAGCATGTGAATGAGATATAATCCATTGAACCACCATCATTTTTCCAACCAAACTTTTGATACAACATTTTGCATATTTTAAGGTATATTTTTGGACTAATTGGAAACAATTTCCTATATATGACAAAAGTCACTGCGAGAAGGTGTGGACCAAACATTTGCTGCAAAATTCAAATGATTTAATTGATTTTGAAATTAAATTCTGCTTTTACCTTGCCCATAGGTCTCAATGTCAACTCATAGAGAGAATTGTTGCAGGGGTTAATTATTCACTGGGTTTTAATTTTGCTTATTTCGCTGATTGGAAAATGCGCTAAATTAAAACCCAGTGAATATGTAAAATTTAGCATAGAACACATTATCTAAATGATAAAACCCTGAATATGCCTGAAATGGTAAATCAGCAAAATTTAAACCCAGTGAAAATTAGTCATTTTACAGTAGGTAATACACATTTGCAAACACACCAACATACTATTTATAACACATGCAAGATAAAAAATTAATTATCACAATCCATATTAATATTGAAAAAAAAATATGATAAAGAATATAATATAGTATTACAAAGGCAAGGCCACCAAAATTTAACTATGTTTTTTTAGTTCAATGTTTTCAGATTTTAAGATAGACTTACTCCAGCTATTAACTATGGTCAAATGTGTATAGTACATTATTGAGCATGTAAATACCCAAAAAATATTTTTATGGTTTCAAGCATAACGTATGATTTTGCAGTGAACAGAGAATGGTAAACTTATGACAATGAAAAAAGTTAACTTTGTTGCTGGGATGATTAATACCATCCAGTATTGGACATTTTGTATTGTTGATATAGTGCAGTATGAATGTAGCACACAGTGTCCAATGCACCAATACTTTTTCATTTCAGAAAAATGTTTTTTTTTTCGATTGTTTCAAAGCACATTTGTAATGTCACCCTAGACCCTAATGGTGAATATATTCTTTTATCTTCGTAGGAACTGTTCGGCGTTTCTTAGAAAAATACGGTGAAACGTTCGATGTCATTGTTTTTGTTGTAAGTGAAATTGATGAGGTGAGTGTTAACGTATGGTTTTAATCAGTTTTCTATGCTCATCAATTTAATGTTGAATCAATGTTATGTTGTAACTGCTTGCTTATTTTCATCATAATTGTGAATATAAAATGATAAACATTAAATATATTCTTGTTTGTTTGTTACCAAAAGTTACTAAAATTGGGCAAAAGTTCAGCAGCAAATCATAGAAATTGGATTTGTTTACTTCAGAACGATGGCCATTTTGTGAAAAAAAGTTTAAACTTTAGTTTGAAATCAAGGCACTTTAATCCTATTTTTTTTGAAAGGCTATTACAATGTATTATATTCAAATGATCATCTGACAAAATTTAGGAATAACTAGGTTTGCTGGTACTTTGTACATCCATGCACAGTAGGAAGAAAAAAACGTCTGATCCTCATTCTCTTTATTGTTTTATCAGTACTCGATAATTCAACAATACAAGTTTATAAATTGGAGCTCCTTTCTTTCACAGAAGTTTTTATAATTTATCGTTTTCTTCAATTTTCCAGGAAATTTACAAACAGCAACTCCCAGTGTATTTCCCACGCAGCAAAGAAGAAGAACGATGGGCGTTTGATAAAATACCAGAAGACATTGGTAACGAAGATGGCGAGCCAATCATTAAAGAAAGGCAAATCAGAATAATGACAAATCCTGCCAGACCAGATGAGGATGAAGGTGAATTTCTGTAGATGGTTATTTTTTTTCTATAAGAGTATAGCATATTTAATCCCACTAATTTTAAGGGTGTTGCCTGTAAATAAAAGGGGGAAATATATTTTTGTTATTTTTAAGTTGAAGTTGAAGGGATTAACATTTCAGGATAATTAGCTGCTCTCAAACAAATTAATCTTTTTTTCCCTAATTTTCGGGTAGATGAAGACGATGGTTATCTGTTACCCGATGCACATGAAGACATGGAGGTTGAAATTAGCGGTGTTGGTAAACACTCCTTTGCCAGTATGGAGGAAGATCCTGATAAAGACAGGAGGGACAAATTACAGACGATACAACATCAGGAACGGTTCTTTGTTTCCCAGCAACGCAGGTGAGGATGTAAGATTTTACTTGATATGTGGTGTGAAAAATGAATTGTGTTCTTGAAATCTGAACCGATAAAAATAGTTTTGTACTTTTACTTTTCAGTTTATTAGAGTATTGTTTTATCTTAGTGCAATGAGTCCATAGAAAATTTTAATTTGCTAGTGAATAATTAACACCTTGAAATATTTCTTTTTACACTACACCATAATTAGGTATGAACGATGGTTAAAAAGAGCGAGACAGACGGATCTAACTGAGATAGCGGCTTTACGATGTCTGTATCAGTCGGGAGTCGATTATCTTGGTCGGCCAGTGATTTTTTTCGTTGGGAGGAACTTTTCTGCCAATACAGTAGACCTTGACAAAGTAAGTAATCTATGCACACTGAATGAATCTTTGAGAAGTAAAAACAAAAGTGAATGTTTGATTGCACACTGGTGGCGCTATTTGTCTGATTTGATTTGCAGGCTGTATTGTACCTCATACAAGTAATGGACACTATTGTTAACAGAGATTACGTAGTGGTTTATTTTCACACTCTCAGTACACCGAATAATCATCCTGAGTTGGCATGGATTAAACAGGTTTATAACTTACTTGATTACAAATGGAAGAAAAACCTGCGTACTTTCTACATCGTTCATCCCACATTGTGGTCTAGAGTAAGTCGTAAGAACTTGTTTATAGTGTTTGTAATTATCACTCTATCTGATAGATTCACACAGTTTTCACTGAAGCTGGCCATCCATGGCCATTCCTATGAATCCTTGCATGATCATATTAGGAAAAGTTGTACTTGACCTCAGTTAAATTGAATGATTTGATTGGGTATACCGAGGGACTGGATCCATCAATCAGCATTCCTGTATCAGCAACTCGCATAAATTTCAAATTTACACCATTAGATCTCATATCATATCCCAGCTTAACTGACAAAAACACATGTCTTTGAGTGAAATTTATCATGGAGACATGCAAGAGCATGTGCTGTTGTGTTTGATTTCGTCGACAGTGAATACAAGTTTATAGCAGGAAATCTGCCAAGGTAAATTGTCAAGGCCACGGCCGAATAAATGAATAATTTTATATTATTGATGTTTACTTTCAGGTACTGACATGGTTTTTCACCACCTTTACTGCTTCCAGTATTAAACACAAAATAGTCAATCTAGGCGGAGTGAAACAGCTGTATAATTTAGTTCCACCGGAACATTTAGATATACCGCCATTTGTCCTTGAATATGACATGAAGGTAAGTCTAGTAGAATTCATTTTCTGACAGTATCCTTTATTTTGGGTTTGTTGTAATGAAATGGTGAAAACTTTCACATATGTGGCTAGATGGCTGTCGTCTGTGTTGCTGTAAATATTTGTTGTGGTTATAATTAAATCAATAATGTTTATGTGATCAATGTCAATTCATATGTACAGTACAGGGAGTTAATTTGCTAAAGCTTGGAACTGGAATGTGGTTATCTAGATATTTTGTGACCAAGATTATTCTGTAAAATTTCCACTTCTTCTTTACAAATAGTTTACAGTATTGTAAATATTCCAATGAAAAACTGTTGTCAACAACCCGAATTGTACTTTATTTATAAATTTTGTATTTTATTATAAAAAAAAATGTACCGGTATTTCAACACTATTTCCTGCTGAAAAATGAAAATGAATGGAATTAAAAAAAAAATCATGAAAACAAGTAACTGTAGGCATAAAGGTCAGAAACAAAATTACGAATAGCGAGGAAATGAACCATTCAAACAAATTTCTAGGAGAAAAGCCACAAAATGCTTGACGGGTGACAGCTCAGGTTGTAGTCTGCCCTCAACTTAAAAATGGAGAACGCATGGTGCCAGTCAGTCATCACATCTAATAAGAAATCATGTGATTTCTCTTCATAGGTAAATGGTCCTGATTACTACATATCAGCCTCAGATGACAGATCTAAAGATGGCTTGTAAACACTGTGGGTTGTCACAGGCCTAAGGAAGAATAAGGAAATATGGCGTTTATATCCTGGTCATTCTTTGACATTTAATGGTCAGTGGTCATCACGCTGTGCACATGACCCTATAGGATCTATATCGAACATAAAAAGGTGTGGTGACCATTGCTCTGTAAAACTAGTGTCCTTATAAGTTCTGCAGAGATGGAATAATTTTAAAATTCCACCTTTGTTGCACTGCTTGCATTCAAATTGCATGTAAACGAACATGTGTTGTATAAGTCAGTTGCATGGGACCCGCGTCAAACACAATACAGTGACGACTGTGGCCCCTTAGATCTGGTGATTGAAAATCAGAGCATGAACACGTTTGGTTACACGATATTTTTAATAAAATTACTACAGTATGTATGAAAATAAATTATGACTAAATGACTGAAATGATCACTGTATACCACTTTGATGGATACCATAGTGTGTGCACCACCTCAATGCACACAATGATCTGTAAAAACTGAAAGCTGTGTTAGACTGTATATTTCTGATTGAGTAACTCAAATAGTATGTTTTTAGTTCATCCGATTACCGGTATTAGAACATATTGTACATTTCTTTAGGTCGATATATTTTCATTATCCATAGACAATGGGTGGCAATTATCTGTATTATGTAAATGAATTATTTTAAATGGTGGGACATCAAATTAAACTTAAAGGTAAAAAGAAATGAGGCAGCTGAGGTGTTCCTTACAATATGGTTTGTATTCTTCTTCAGTATTGTAAATCCCGAAGTACCATTTTGCCAGCCATATACACCCCGTGCAAACACTATTTTGATTATTAAATTTACCACTTTCCTAACCAAATGCATCTCGTATAATAAACCCCACTTTTATTACCAAAAACACCACTATCCTAAGCAAATACACAACATGAAAACACTACTTTGGTTACCAAAAATACCACTTTCCTCAGCAATTACACCACATGCAAACACCACTTTGGTTACCAAAAACACCACTTTCCTGACCAAATACATCTCGTGCAAACACCACTCAACACTTGGACCAGGGTACTTTTGGTATTTATTTCCGGAATGTTATTTTTTGTTTTCTTTCAGTAATCAAATTTTGATACCAATTTGTACATTTTCATGATATTGTGTTCCAATTCTGACAGACTGTTTTCTATTTTCAGTATAACGTAAGTTGCTATAATTTTTATGAGGTGTAGATTTAATAAACTTTAATTTGTGAAACTGAGAAGTCACAGAATTTTAATTGAAAGCATTCTCTATGAAAGCAGTCTCAACATTTGTATTTACAGCATTTAAACTGGCCAGTGAAAGAGTATTTTTCTTCCTTAAGTTCCAGCATTACGCGTTTCAATAAACTTGCATGACTGATCAGCTGAACTTACCATCCATCATAATGCTAGGCATTTATTGGTCTTTAGAGACTTCAGAAATTGCATAGAATCGAGAATAGGTGTGCATTTTCTCTTGACTCCTACTATGCATTTATTTGACCGTTACGATTTGTCTACAAAATATCGTAATGGATTTACGCATTTATTATCTGTCATTTCAGATTTGATTTGTTTGATTTTATTAATCTGCAGGGATCTGAAATAATTTTATTTAATTTTTATTGAAATGATGGTGTTTAAAAAGTTGCATTTTCACTTTGTAAATATGTGAATCACTCTCAGAACAAGCTGAAAACATAAGATGTTTTTTTAAGATATTACAGTGAAATCTGTATTAGAAGCCGCATCCCTAATATAAGTTGCACCCATTCTTTTTGAACAATTGAGAACCAAAAAATCATCATTTCTCATATACATGTATGTAGATGCTCTACTAGAAGCCGCATCCCTTCTTTTGCATTGTACCATTTTAATAAAAGCTGCAGCTTCTAATACGAATTTTACAGTAATAGTTAATATCCTGCCTTGACCTTTTTCACTCATTTCGTTTGCATAGTGCTGGAGGATGAATATACCAATATCTACAATGTGATCTTTGAGGACAAAGCCTTCCTTACTCCGTGAGTAAGGAAATCTAACTTAATTTATGAGGCTTGCTTAAATTGATATTTTGCAGTTAATTTTTCATTACCAATCCATAATAATATTATTTTTACCAAACGCTTCAGCGTGGTATTAAGATTTTGTTTTCAGGCTTGGGTGGTACCAAGAAGGAAAATGGTTGCACATATGGGGGGTAATTCCTGGAATTGCAATAGAGAGGGTTCAGGCCGAAATACATATATAGTGTTTCCATGTTTCGTCTGATATTTCTGTGGTATTCTGCTGCTGTAAATAATGCAAGATTTGTTCCGAAATTCTGTGTGTTGTGTGCACTCCAGGGTTATTCGTTTTTTTGCTCAAAACACCCCTATTTTTTAATGGCAGAGTCGAATAGTTTCACTCCCACTGGGAAATCTGCATTGTTACTTGAATGAGAGCTAACTAAACACATTTTCCAGACCGGCGAAAGTGTATGCAACAGCCAATTTTAACAGCCTGTCACGTGATTTTAGTCTAAATGTCAACATCAAAAGA